CTTTTGAAAAGAAAATAAGAAAACCACTAGAAGGTTATCTAACTTTCCTTTAAGTTAAGATAATCCACCCAAATTACAAAATTCATAAATGGTTTATTTTTCCACTGAGAAATTAGAGAATACCAAATAGAACAAATCTTATAGGTAACTTTCACTTTCTGAAAAACATAGTGATAAGTCATTCATAACAATCTTTCACTTTCATGAACGTACAGGTTACCCAATAAGCATTGAAGTTTCATTTTTACTTTCTTCAAATTTTGGTGGACTTGAGATTCAATCACTGTACAGGGGGTCCTTATTTCCTGACAATTGAAAAAGACCTGGGGGTGCCTATTTAGGCAGGGGCCATTTATAGGTATTTTATGGAATGCATCACCGTTTCTCTGAAGTTTAAAGTAAAACAACTATAGACTACTGTAGGCCATACTACAGGTATTACTTCCCACTCATGTGCAAGTTTGAAGCAATTCAGGGAAAAAATTCATCCAATTTTGTGTGTGTATGTATGTTTAAAGACATGCAAAACCAATTCATGCACAGGTCCAGGATTTTTTTTTAAAAAGGGGGGGGGGGGTCCACCTCAGTCAAAAAATCTCCTACGGAGAAAGGACAAGATATGGTAACATGAGCAGATCTAGAGGGGGGGTTAGGGGATCCGGACCCCCCCCCCTGGAATTTGCAGAATTATCAAATTTATATGCTTAACTAAGACCTTGGAACCCCCCCCCCCCCAAAAAAAAATGCAGATCACCCACCACCACCCCACCCAAACCAGGGATCAAAAGGGGTCTTAGCCTAATATCTGAATGTCCTTTATTGACAAGAAGAAAAAAAAAAACAGTAATAAAAGTAAAGTTCATTCACAAATACATGTATGAAAAAAGCCTATTAACACAGGGTGGGTCCAAAGTCTTTTCTTATTTGCTTCAGCATATGCACATTGTTACTCTCTTCCTTTATCCACTCCCCTCTTCTAAATCTTTGCCAGTAATGCATAGATAATAAATTTTACTATGATATTGAAATGAAAATGTTCCATTCTGTTCATTAGAAAGTGAATCCCAAGAAATATCTGCAGATGATTCACAAATTACCAAGCAAATATGAAAACAGTTTTAGGAATAATGTACCAGTTGAAGTAGAATTAAGGAAGGAAAAGTAAACACAGATTTAATTTCCCTGTTCTAGATTTAAAACTGAAAATAATGAATCAACTATCTTATCTGTGGAAATTCCATCAGAATAAGCCATACAGTTGACAAGAATAGTTAATATCAGGGAAATTTAACAAGCATACTGGTATTATAGCAGTACACATGTACTTGCATGTACATGTAGTTTCATGTAATGTTGGATTGACTTTTAAAAATATTTCACAAATTCCCAAGCTTTCACCTGCAGTCCATTCACAGATCTTAAAAAATTCATTAAAATTGTGAAAAAAAAAATGTACTAAAAACCTTTTGTAAATAGAGAAAAGAAATATTGTTTCTCTTTGTAGATGTATTTTTTTTCCAGATAATATGTTAAAAAAATACATTTTTAAAAATGAAAACTTAAATTTTATTGACATTTTCATTTTTTTACCCAGTGCCAGACAGAACATTAACAGAAGAAGAATGTGATAAACTGTCTGAGAATTTAGGAAAGGATTATAAAAAATTCTGTCGAAGGCTAGGTTTCAAAGAGGTTCACATTGAACAAGTAGAAATGGACTTCAGAGATGAAGGGCATTATGAAATTACTTACCAACTTCTCAGGAAACTCAAACACATGAGAAAAGACAATCTTCAAGGTGTTGTGGAGGCCTTACAGAGTATAGACAGAGATGATATTTTGGAGGAGTTGAATATTACGTAGAATTTTTAAAATGTTTATAATTTATTTTGTATATATAGTAATAAAAATTATTTTATATTGTACATAAATTCCTTGAAAAATCTGTGATGCTAATACACACTTTTAATAAAATTGCAATGCATTTTGTTAAATTCTTTTTTTATTCTTTTGATTTTTTTATATTAGATAATAGCCATCATATTTTTTTTTAGTTATGAGGCGTATGTAATGTAGACTCCTTATTTTACGCGAGTATGAATTATCACAGAAGTCAAATTACGATAAAACTTTCACATTGAACTGCATATGTACATGTTGATCGGGAATTCGAGTACTAGTAATTTATTTTTTCGAGTTGTTCTTCTGCGAAATTATTTAATAGATTCCCCGTGTATAGGTTTGAATCCACAGTAAATCATACATAATATAATTACAACTTTTGTCTGCAAGTAAACAACGAGGCGAGGGAGAGGTGTAGCTTCTTAACAAGATTCCGTGAAGGACTCATTAAATTTCATTCAGTGGTAAAAGAGGAGTTGCGGATAAGAGATGGGTACTCCAAAGCGCAACGGACGGACGTACTGACAGACATCCCCACCACTATACCCCTCCCCCCTTCTTTTCAAACGGGGGGTATAAAATCAATGGAAATATTGCATACGAGGCTGAAAGTGTCAAAGTCATATATAATATGGAGATAGATGCCCTTCTCGCTATCACAATTGTTAACTGTGAGCAAAAAAAAAAAATGGTTCCAACATTAACAAAAAAGTTATTTTCCTTTCACCCCTTCCACCTGGATTTGTTAGACAACTATATAAAGCTCCAAATTAAGATAAAAATCCAGAATAACTTCAGATAAGTTTATAGAATCAGTTCATTGATGCGAGCAACAATTGAATATTATAAATCTGTTCACATGTTTCAATTCTGAATTATTGCATACGAAGCCGCTCTCAACATTTGAATATCAAATGAAATTGTGTAAACAATAGCTGCATTGATACAATACTCTCATCAATTGTATAAATTATGAATGCATGTACTGATTACTGCTTCAACTGATGCGCACATCAAATGCATATATAAACTATATACATTTAGTGAATAGAGCAGTAACTGTTTTGATATATATTTACATCAATTCAAAAGCGCCCATTGTAAATGGAATTATTAAATTTTCAACAGTGAAATAATATTTATGGAATAAAAATGGTATTCTTTCACGATGTTGGAAGAACATCAAAAGTTCAAAAAAAATCTCTCCATCAATTTTCCTTCCCTTCACGAAGATTGTGGTAAAAAAAATCCCTGACCTGTTATAAAATAGAAAGAGTAAATACAACTATATAAAACACCCCTAACAGACAGAAAAACCTTCAAAGTGCATCGCACTCACGAAAATTAATATAAAAAAAATTCTAGCTGTCCCACTTGTGAAATAAAGTCCATATTCAACTATGAAATTTATCTTCTATTATATTTATTGATCAATTCAGTTTGTTAAAATGCAACTTTTTTCAATTATTTGACAATGAGCTATCACTGAAAATTTGGCGCCTCGAACACAACTGCAGCCCATTTAAACAAGGCTGCCTCGATTACCCCCCCCCCTTCCCCACAATACCCCCCCCCCCCCTTCCCCAAAGTGTCAAATATGATATTTTAAAATCTATTCAATAAAACATTGAGATAAATCTGTCCGCCCGCTCTAAGGAAAAAAAGAATGAACATTTAGGAATTTTCTTATCATTGCCATAAATGGGTGCTGTTTTTTTTTTTTTATTACATCACACCCTCATCGAGGAATTTCATCTTGTGTTTCCGGTTTATCAGCTTGGTATTATTGTTGTTTTCTTTCCTGTTTAAATGGAAAGACCCTTATGTAAACAAGTGAGTAATAAATATTCTTTCAGATAGTCCCAGCTATAATCGCATAGAATTGACAGTTTCAAGATGCGCACCTTACACATAACCCCTCCTATTTGTAAAGGCGTGCCCCTCCTTAAATTTAGGGTTAATAAATAAAACTGAAGTTTCCACATGTAATAACTTTAACGAGATGGGGAACACGTACGGTATACGAAGTACAAAGAGTTTAAAAGTTGTTAGAGTGCAAACGTATAATCTTTAAAAGAAAATTTTATTATAGCATGTAATTTTTTTTTTTGGGGGGGGGGGGGGTTGATTTTTTCTCTTTACTTTGTACAATTGTAATTTTGAAAATATGGGCAAATAGAAAAAAAAAATTATGTCATCATCATTTACGATTTTTAAAATCCACTTTATGATAATTATTTGAAATAATTACTATCTTTTTATCAGCAACATTAATATGAACATTTTTAAATATCATCAGTTACATGTATATATGTAATTAACAATTTAAAGATATATACATCATATTAAAATAAGTATTTGTTTTTACATTAACGTATCAGAACAAGTACAAGTAAAAATACTTTTTAATAATCATTAAAAAGTAGAGGTCGCACCTTTAAAGTCGACTGTCGTCGTAAAATATTAAAATTCCATTTTAAACGCAGATATTTGTAGAAATACCTTTTTTTTTTTTTTTTTTTTTTTTTTTTTTTTTTTTTACAAAACTATTTATATTTTCTGGTTCTTTGCTTTCGTGTAATGATCAGGGTCGATGAAATCAGCTTACAGAAGCTTACATAATGTATATCAAAAGAACGGGCTATATATGTATTTAAAAGGCTGACGTACGCATAGGTATTGATTACCGGATTATTAAATTACTTATATATATATGCAATATGTAAAAGACGATTTCGCCCACATGCTAAATATAACAGATACAAAGCAAATAATTAAGGTGTTGCTAATGCCAATGGATTTCCTCATTAATGTGATATTAAATGAAGCAATTTTGAAATTCATGAAAGAAAAATATTTTTCGTACGATTAATGTATTAATCATGTAATTTCCATTAATTTATAATTTGTTCGGAAGTCAAAATTACCGGTTACAATAATATTCTTTTTATCTTTTTAAAATTTTTTTATGTAAAACTAAAATATACTCATCAGGAAAAAAAGTCTATTTCGATAAAATAACGATATATGTTAAAGTTCGATACGCTGTATGACTGCCGACAACCGCCGCTCGCTGCAAATATCTAGGTCACATCGACGGGGAAATCCAAACGGGAATTCCCTATCGCACAAGTCCCTTTGTGCGTTGTCTTTGTTAGATTGAAAATTTCCAGTTTCTACGTTGGGTGGAAAGTCCATCGAAACGAAAACAGTATTCCTTGGGAATTTAGCCGAAGCGGTACATAACTTGCGAGATTTGAATTGTATTCTTTAATTTTGAACATTCGACTGAGATAAACAGTTTCTACACAGCTAAACATGGACGTTAATGATCTTGAAGAGGACTGCTGTGCAGGGCCTATGCCTGCTGACAACTTCCATAAATTTGGACCATCAGACGGGAGATTGGACAAACTGAAGTCTGAGGAGAGATTCGATTCGGACCCTGGTCTCGGAGCCTCCATTACATCCCAAGATAGTGGCTGCCTTACAGACATTCGAGATCAAATTTTGAAACAATCCCAAAAACGAGAGCCAACGGTAGACGAATCTGTGGAAATAGATGTAATAGAGTTTTCTGAAAAATTGACTCTTGGTACTACATGTACGAAGGATCAAGACGAAGGAATATGCGATTCCGTACCAGAAACTGATCTGAAAGGCGAGGAGGAGTCGGAGAAATTCACGGATGACGATTTTTTGATATATGGGAGGGACGCAGATGGGGACACCCTCCTCCATCTTGCAATAATTTCAGGACATGTCATGTTGGCAAAGGTGTTCATAGAAGTGGCGCCATGGACTGAGTGCTTAGATATTTACAACGACAAGCTCAGGCAAACGCCGTTACATCTTGCCGTCTTGATGAAACAGGTCGAGATTGTCAAACTTTTATTAGACAATGGTGCTAATCCCGAAATGTTTGACCACAACGGGGACACGGCACTTCATATTGCATGTCGGTCTGGAAACGTTACCATGGTAAAAGAAATTCTGAAACACCGAGAATCGCGAGCTATTCAAAATCTCGATGTAAGGAACTATGAAGGTTACACTTGTTTGCATGTAGCCGTTCTTGGGGGATTCACCAAAATTGTAGACATTCTTTTGAAATCAAGAGCTGATGTGAACGTCGGTGATGGAAAAAGTGGCGCGACCGCCCTACATTTGGCTACTAAAGGCAACAAAATAGACATTGTTTCGTCATTATTAGAGCAACCCAAAATCTCCATAGACAAGAAGATGTACAATGGTGTAACTCCCCTAATGGTAGCAGTTGAGCGCCAGCGCTCCGATATTTCAGAACTTCTCGTGAGCCATAACGCTAACATTGACTTCCTTGAATCTCTGACTTCGAGTTCTAGTGAAGAAGATGAAGAAACATAAGCTGTTTATTAGTATATAATAATAAAAACTTGTTTCTCAGGGAGGTTCTGTGATGTACATTTTTTCGTACTTCTGCACCCAGTCAACCCGGCTGTACGCAGCACTGTGATTGGCTGAGAGTGTATATCCGGGGAATTTGTTATTTATCATATTTATCATGCTTATTTAACTTAGCTATTTAAATGATCTTTTCGATCTGCCGTCAATTCGGTAAGGTCGGATCGACTTCCGCTATTAAAGTGTAGTTGACATTCAATAGAAAATGTAGTTGGAATAAATTAATGTCATTTTGTTTCCTTGTCTTGATTTATTCAGATGATTTTTTTCTCACATGCAATGTGAATGATATATCATATCCTGAAATATTTTAACAAAGAACACATTGAGTGAACGTTGGAAAAACCAAAGATAACACAATGCAACTCTGAAAGAAACAAGTTTGGCTTTTTAAAGACACTCCGCAGGGAGAATATATACTACTGTAGACCTATTGATTTGAATAATCTGTGTCATCAAAATGACCCGAAATTTCCCTTTAACTTACGAGTTAAAGCAAGTCTGAAGCATTGGAACACGTCTATATTGCAATATGATTGTTTATTTGCGAAGACGTACATGTCTGAAGCATTGGAACACGTCTATATTGCAATATCATGATTCTTTATTTGCGAAGACTTACTTTTTTTTTTGGTCCATTTTCCAAAAGATATTTTTGGGGGAAAAGGGGGAGAGGTAGAATTGAAAGACTGTCAGAGAATTCGATAAAGGTGAAAAATTAGCACAATAATCCTTCTTGCAACTTTTCTGGGGAAAATGACTAAACAATATATATAATGATTCTTTAATATGAATGAAAATAGATTAATATTACTTGATACATGTACCGGGTATATTTAGATAATCATGTACTTATTTTAATTTTATAATGAAATTAAAATTCAATTAAACTATCAGTGTGTAATAGGAATAGCCTGCTTAAATACCCAAAAGAACAATTTTCACTTTCCTTTTTCTTGAAAGGTACGGAAAATTGGAAAAATGCTTGTTAATAAAGGAAAGGCGATTCTGGGTATTTCCCAAGATTAAAAAAGTGTGGATCAATTTTAAAGTTCATAAGCCTTTATGGAAATCCCGTCCTTTATCACGTTACAAAACATGTTTTAAATCCCCTGAAGTCGAGACATCAATAAATCTTGTTTATTCAGTGATAAACGCACATGCATTAACTATCAACAACTGAATATCATTTTTTAAAAAGATCTACACAGTGAAAAAAATATATTTATATTACATACCGGTACATGCATTATGCACGATATGAGTAAAGGCAGATAGACCGAGAGACGGTTTATTTTAGTGTTCAAGGATGACACAACAAAGGCAAATATATAACTAATAGGAAAAATAACCATTGTTAAAACCTAATATTTCTAATTTTCATAAGAAAATTTTTTAAAATTACACAAAAAATTATACACATCTCAAAATCATACACACTGTACGTTTTTTTTTTTCAACCAGCAAGTCCGAATTTTGTAAAAATCGAAAATCTTGACGTAAATTTAGAAGTTGGTCTGCATGCCGCTCAATGTCTTTGTTAGATTTACATGTATAACATTAGAAATGCCGGTATGATCAGACTTCGTAGTTCAACCAATTCACGTAGTTCAACCAATTTAAAGATTCAGGTCAAAATAAGTATATACACTGTAGTCTCATTGGTAAATTAATTTGCTATAACAGGAAATTTAATTCAGGGAAAGGTTTTTTTAAGTTGCAAGAACTTGTAACCAATCCCTTTGTATAAATTATACAATAAAATACATGTATGTTAATAACAAAATTTAATCCTTGTATGACTGAATTTTGCATTATATTAAAGACAACTGTTTAGAATTCTTTGCTGAATTGCATTTTAAATAATTAATCTTTAGAATGACGGGACTGTATTTTATTTCATTCATTAAATTCATTCCACAACACATCACATTTCTCCCCCTTACAACCTTTATTTTGGCGTATCAAAATCCATTCATCTAAAGGGGAAAAGATAGCACTAACAACCGTGTTTAACTCTGAACGATTTGAAAAAAAAATTGTTTTCTTATTTTCAAAATATGAAATGTGAAAATTTTGAGTGAGTTATGAATGAATAAAATCGCAAGTAATATATATATAGAACGAATTCTCATTGAATTAAATCAAGTTGTTCTAATTTTTGTCCCATTTTATGAGCGGACATTTGTTAAAATTCCTGAAATTTGCAATAAAATTTCCCGAGTACAAGGAAAATAGGAAGTTCAATTAAAATCTGACCAAATGCCAACAAAACAATTTATCCTTCCTCATTCTTAAAAAAAATAATTTCCTTGCTAACACTATAGTTTCCTATTCCGAAAACTGCAGCGAAAACTATTTTACATGACCAGAAAACAATGAACAAACAAATAGGTATTAAGGATTTTGCAATTTATGCAAATTATTGCCTTCATTTATCGGTTATAATTATTTTTAGACTCAAACGAAGGGTCATAGCCCTATTCTGACCTAGTTCTTTTTTTTTAGACTTGCCTATTGCTATAATAATCCGTAAATCATCGTCAGCTGTTTTGTGTTCTTTCCACTTATCCATACTTTCTATTTCAAGTTTTGTAGTTAGATTTATCGTTGGAACTTTTATATTTAAAACAACTTTTTAAAAAAGCTCAAGTAATATGGATTCGTCCGACGAATGACAACTTCAAAGCACAAAATACAATGGCGGATCCAAAATTGTTGAAAAGGGGAGGGAAGATTAATGGTCTGGAAGTGTCTATAACAACAACCAAAAATAACTTCAGGTTGAGCCAACCTGAGCCGAATACTCGAGTGGACTTTTCTGATCACATTTTTTCTGGTCCGTCTGCCTGTAAACTTTTAATTTTGTTTTTGATTTTTTATACTCCCCGCTTGAAAAGCGACAGGGAATATAGTAATCGGTATGTCCGTTCGTCCACCCGTCCGTTTGTCTGTTACGCTTTGGGGTACCCATCTCTTATCCGCAACTCCTCTCATACCACAGAATGAAATTTGATGAAACTTTCACAGAATTTTTCATACATATTGCCATTGTGCACCATTTTACTTTTTGTTCTGACACATATTTTTGGTTTCCCACAACAAAAACATGGACACTCCCATTATATTCATATGGGAGGCGGGGGTATCATTAAATAGCTAGTGAGCTCATTGCGAACAGTACCTCTAGTTTTATTATACCCCGCTTGACAAGCGGGAGGATATATAGTAATTGGTATGTCCGTCCGTCCGTCTGTCTGTTACGCTTTGGGGTACCCATCTCTTATCTGCAACTCCTCTTATACCACTTAGTGAATTTAATGAAACTTTCACAGAATCTTTATTACATATTGCCATTGTGCACCTCCTATTTTGCTTCTTGATCTGACACATATTTTGGGTTTCCCACAACAAAACATGAACACTTCCATTATATTCATATGGGAGGCGGTGGGTAACATTTTGTGACCTCATCTAGTCTTATATCACTGAATGAAGTTTTAGGAGACTTTCACATAATCTTTATTACATATTGCCATTGTGTACCTCCTATTTTACTTTATGATCCGACACATATTTTGGATTTCCCATAGAAAAATATGGACACTGCCATTTTATTCATATGGGCGGCAGAGGTATCATTTAGTGAGCTCTTTGCTCATGTGCAGTTCCTCTAGTTTACTTTATATAAAGATAGGACTTTCTTGTAAATTACTCAATTTAAACTAGAGGTACTGTGAGCAATGAACTCACTAAATAATACCCCCGCCTCCCATATGAATATAATGGCAGTATCCATGTTTTGCTCTGGAAAATACAATTCAAATATATTTGTCAGATCAAAAAGTAAAATAAGAGGTGCACAATGGCAATATGTAATAAGGATTCTGTGAAAGTTTCATTAAATTTCCTTCAGTGATATGAGAGGAGTTGCGGATAAGAGATGGGTACCCCAAAGCGTAACAGACGGACGGACGGAAATGCCGATTCTGCAATTTAAAAAAAGCGATCGACAAGGCATGCAGCTACAAGAGACAACCGTTATATAAGAGCAAGAATGCTCCATACAAAGGAGCAAACCCATATCGTCCGTCCTGGAAAACAAACCAGCACATGAACCCATACCAAAATAATGACTGGAGAGACTTCCGGCCTTACCATGCTTACCGAGGCAGACCCTGGCACTAAGTTTTCTTTTAGCTATATCATAACACATAGCTTTTGTGGATTTTTAGTCAGTACACAAATCTTTATTAAAAGAGATTGTGAATTTATAATCAGAACAAATCTTTATTGATAGATTCTGTTTGTTTGTTTTTGTTTTTGTTAAAAAAGAAAAACAAAACTGTCCATATAATTATTCAAGATAGCTCATTATATTAATTGTTATAAATACAATGAGTAGAGCTGAAACCTATTTAAACATATGTACATGGAATGTGGGAGGTATGATCACTGACGGCATAAATAAATGTACAGATAACAAATTTATAGATCAGATAAAAAATTTTGATATTGTATTACTCACTGAAACACACATAGGCTATAATACTACCCTTGAAGTGGATAACTTTTCTTACTACCCAGTTTGTAGAGATAAGTCAAAGAATAACAGATACTTTGGAGGTTTAGGAATTTTAATAAAGAAAAACATAAGAAAGGGCATTTTAGTACTTCAAAATACAAACACAGAGTTTCAATGGTTAAAGCTTAAAAAAGAATTCTTCAATTTTAAATCAGACATATACTTATGTTTGATCTACATTCCTCCCTACACATCAGGTTATTTAAGAAATAATAATGATATACTAGAAATACTGGAGAGAGATATTATTAAGTATAGAGATATGGGTGATATTATACTTACTGGAGATTTTAATGCCAGAACTGGTAATGAACCTGATTACATAAAAGGAGATAATACCTCACACATTCCAATTAAAGAAGACTTTTATAATGTAGATATAGCAGTTGGGGATAGGAAAAATAGAGATATCACATTAGATAATAGAGGTAAAGACTTGTTAGAAATGTGTATAGCAAATAAGATGAGAATAGTTAACGGTAGAATTTTTGGTGATTCATATGGAAAATTTACTTGCCATAACTATGCAGGTTCAAGTGTTGTCGATTACTTTATTGTAACAGAGAAATTACTTGACGATATTATGTACTTTCATGTATATGATTTTTTACCATTCTCTGATTGTCATTGTAAAATTTCACTAAAAATAC